CCCTCCCCTAAACTGCACCACCAAACCCTGCTCTCATAACCAGCCTTCTCTTATCGACCACCCCGCCATTCCCACGACTCACTTGTACAAACAAGCAAACGCGTTTTAACATGCACCCCCTTCCCATAGCAATACAGGGTGTCCCAAAAATGTATACACATTTTACATTATTGTAAAATTGGTGTTTATCATAATTTTATTATTTAAAAAATGTAAAAATATTAACAAGTACAATTTTATTGTTTTCTTTTCACTGAATGTTCTCAAACCGACGTCCATTTTGATCATGACACTGCTGACAACACAAAGCAATGGAATTGCAGACACCATTAAATAATTCCCTTGGTATTCTGGTGCATTCATTTTCAATGGTTTCTCTTAACTCAGCCACTGTTGCTATAGTCAACATGTGGTGAAAAAACAATAAAATGCTACTTATAAATATTTTCTTCATTTTTGAAATAATAAAATTACAATGAACACCAAGTTTACAATTATTAAAAATGTGTATACCATTTTTTGGGACACCCTGTATATTGGCCTGACGAGAATTTATCGAAGGTACACTTATGCTCGCTAAACTAGTCTCCTAAAGGCTTTTATTTTATAAAAAGAAAATATATCATTAAAGAAGCTAATGATAGACGAGCATAGAGCTGGCATTGGCCATTCTTTTTGTGCGGAATCAGAAGAGGCCCCTTGGCGTGGAGATGCATATTCGCCATCGCGCTCTTCACTGTGGCATCCGCATGAGCGATCGCTCTACGCACCTTACGTTTCACATCCAGAAAGCAGACGTTGCAGGCCTTGGGGTGTGGTTTCAATACTTTGAAACATTCACGACAGTGTGACGAGTGATTCATTTTGACTGCGAAGGGCTTATGACATTCCATGCACGCCTCTAGGTCGTTGGGGAGGCCGTCCTTGTCGCTGTAACATTCCTGACATGCCGCGATACTGTTGAGATGCAAGATCCAGGCCTTGTCTTTGCTGCCCGATACGGTAGTGTACCATCGCAGGAGAGGTTCCATGTAGTCAGTACATTCACTTGGAGGTTTCTGTATGATGCCCGACGCCCTGACTATTGAGGTGATAGGTCGGGGACCTTTTGGCACGATGTTCTTCGATGTCAGCACGCCCAACAGGGGCAACAATAGGAGGCATAGCACGGGAAATTGCGTCGTGCCAAAAGACATGCTAAGTAGCCATGTGAGACGGGCAAACGTGGAAGCTAATTTATATTTCAAATGGCAGGAAAAGGGTTAACCCCGTAACACCCCCAGGCGTCTTGACCAGGAATAAGTCCCCGTGCTGGGTACTTACAGTCGATGGACTGGATCTGGGTGTGTTTTAACCTGTAGAAGTCAGCCGCATATTCACCGGCACTCTCCATTCGCGCCAAGGTATGGCTTGAACATAACAACGGCAAATTCAATTAGTCTTGGAGTGAAGCTAGAA